ATTCCAATAAAATTGTGCGAATATATCATAAGTCTAGATTCTAGAATTACATTTGTGAATTAAATTGATTTTCACGATAAATCTTCCGATTATAGAGTTGGGATGAAAATTCTCTAATTGAGTTATAAAATGAATAATTGATGTGATCGATACAATCCAATTGAGGAAATTCCGACGCTTCACTACATCAAGTTATTGATTCTAATTTCACATTTCAAACGTTGAATTTTACTACATATTGAAGAGGATAATTCATCACGTTTTGAAATTCTTGATAATTTTTCTTGTGGATACGACACCCTAAAGTTGCACTACAACTACCGCATTATTCTTTGAGCGTATTCAGGACTTAGGTCAACGGCGAAAGTGAAATTGGATTTGGATTGAACTTTTCGACAAGTAAATGCGGCCTATTTTTATACATCTACATAAAATTAATCGCTTCAGTAGATAATATTCTAAATTAGAACAGGTTAGATCCGATTATAAAGAAAATCAAACAAAATCACTTTTTAGTTCATAAATAGAAAAAAAAAGAAGATCCAATGTTTGTAAAGTTCCAAACGGCAGGGAGATATTGGCAAATCAAATCAAATCAAATCCAATCAGATAATTGTATCTTTCGGTTGGATCTCAAAATCTAATCAATTAAAAAGCATTTTCTTTTTTTTAATGCCTTGGATTCGACCAAATATGAATAGAATAGAATACAAGAACCACACAAAGTGGATTGAATAACTGTCCAACTAAGGCAATTATTTATTATTATTTCATTAATGCTCGTACGTTGTTTGTTGCTCCTCATGTCTATTCTCCTGATAAAATATTCAAAATGATTTCGACCATGAAGCACTTGTTTGAGTTCTTTTCCTTTTTTTTTTTTTTTTTTTGGTAAAAATACATTTTGAAATAGTTTTTATTAAAAACGTGTAATTAAATAATAATATTATTTGTACATAATGATAATATGAAAATGGGGAAAAGATTATAATAACATTACTCTTATTAAATTTAAAAAAATGTCTAATTACAAAATTCTTAAGAATTTTTATCTTTGATATACTTAATGAACCCTAAAATATATTAGCAAAAAATTTGGTAACTAGTCGACTTCTTAACATTCCTAGTTACATCTTGCGATGAAAAATCTTTAAAATGAGACGGTTTTTTTCGACCTATTGTGATTTGGTTCGTTCATTTAATTATACCACCAACTCAATAGTTTCCTCTTAGAAAAAAAAAATACGTAAGGAAGTTGAAAATGCAGTCGAAATTATATAAATAAAATAATGAAAAAAATACAATAAATAGAGTAACAGTAAAATAGAGAAAATATTATTGAATTAAAATTCGAATAATTACTTGACACTGTTTAGTCCCTTATCTCGAGCGAGTGTTTGAGAATATTCAGTCCAAAATTAAACCAATATCCACTCTTCATCCAAACATCATGTTCCCACACGCTAAGTAATTGATGTTAAGAGACCATCTGATACTCGATCAGACTAATTGCACGTCGTAAAGGACATGAGTTTTTCGCTTGATTGATAAATCGACAAGAATATTGTCTTATTGTTCCCAACTGCAAAAGTGGATATCAAGAATATGAATCATGCTTGGCGTACAATCGTGGATGACAACTTTGTTTACAAAATGTCATATAGCATTCTGTCATTCGACAGTTTCAACTAAAAGTTATTTTTGCGGTCCATAGTTTTTTGTCAACATACCAATTATCAAGCAAGTTGTCATCCATAGTTGTACAAATAACATTATTGCAAGAATAAAATATTAACTAGTTAGCCTTATTCCATTTGAAAAATGGCTAAAAATTGGAAGGTTTGCATTCATTGTCCTTTTCTAAGAAATGAGGAGAATACCCTTTAAAAACTCTAAATTTCCAACTAAAATTCATTAGTTTCTCTAACTCAATTCGATCCCAAATTGATCGTCACCACGCCGTCTTTGCCGCCTCTTTTTTTCGTTTAAAAAAGATCCAAACCAACCGGTCATTTTCATTTTCTTCTTTCGCTTCTTCTTAATGTGTTTTCATATTTTTCATATTATGTTATAATTATTAAATAAATAAAATAATGCGTATCAAACAATATAAATTATTTAATAATTCATAAAACTAAACATTTTTCAAATTATTTTTTTACATACTCATTTTCAACTATACATTCATACAATAAAAATATTTTACATATTAATCCAAAAAATTTCCTACTTTTTAGCCACAAATTTTCCAAAAATTCAATATTCAAATCTCAATTTCTCCAAATTATGACACGTAACATTGCTCAAGTTAATAATTCATCGTCCCACAAAAATGAACTTATTTTCATTTTCATACAAATTAATAAAATATAATTAATATAGTCATAAATATAATTTTTTTTACATTTGTTTTAATATACCTCTATATTAAATAATATTTTAAATATGAGCATTTCATATTTTTTGATAAGTACACATTAAGGAGTATATTAAAATATTAAGAAATCAATTATACTCTTATGAAAAAAAAAATCAAACCTATGACGAAGGGAGTATTAAGTACCATTTATGCTAAATATTTAGAATAATGTTATCAAACCCTCTAGCTGGTCGCACTTAATATATTCAATTAAACGAATTCATTCGACATTATATTTAAGTAAATATATAATTTAATGTTATTTACTTATTTTATTGATTGATATTTGATATCAGTAATGCTAAATAACGTTGCTCAAATATTTAGGGGAAAATTCACTTGTACAATCATTAAGGAAGGGCTGTACAAGTAGCGGTTCTCAATATTAATTAGTGGGCTCCACATTCATGTGAGAGGACTGTACAATTTGCAGTCCTTAATGACTGTACAAGTAGCAGTTCTCAATATTAATTAGTGGGTCACACATTCATGTGAGGGGACGGTACAATTTACCGCTCTCAATGACTGTACAAGCAGCAGTTCTCAATATTTAGGCAGTACAAACTGAATGCAATCTTTGACCCATCCTTTTAAGGCTCTTGAAATTCAAGTCTGATTAATGTGTGTA